CGTCTGGGGTTCCGCGGGTGCCGAAGAGGCAGCCCCGGCGGATCGAGTGAGGAGAGCCTGGAGCGCCGCCACCAAAGCCTCGGGGCTGAGGGTGGGCTCCTCGGGCATGGGGGAGCGAGGCGATAGCCGGAAAGCTCCGAAGGGGTGCAAAAACGAGCCGGAGGCTCGGCGCAACAGATCCTTTCGAAGGATCGAAGCAATGTTCCCGATTGGGACCGGGCTCGCTGCAACCAAGAGCGGTTGGAGCGAGAAAACAAAGTGCAGACTGATGGCGCGTCGCCTCCTTAGGCCTCGGCGCCGCCAAACAGTTCCCGAACGAGCCGAAACCCGGCCCCAAGGACCGTTGCCTGCCTTGGGGCCCCAGCAGCAGCATGTTCCCGCGCAAACTGGGCGCCCTGCTGACAGAACACTGTCGGGTAGCAATTTTTTCGCCCGCCCATCTTCGGGCCTCCCGTAAACTAGCTTACTGGACGTAACCATCCCATCCGGTTCGGCACACAAAGTACTGAAGGGTCACATCAGCTCCCGCCAAGCATCTGATTTGGCACCAAATGCACCAAAGCACTCAGTGCTTAAAACACCACCCAACGCCTCAGTGCACCCAGAGCACCCAAAGCACAAAATTGGTAGTTACATCACGTGCACGGGTGCGTGCTCCCCCGAAGTACTGGGCCAATGCACAGGCCTCAAAATTGCCGTGGGGACAACATTAATGTACCAATGTTGGTAACACCGCTGTGCTCCAGGTGTCGGAGGATCAGCAACCCGATTGGCCAAAAGTGATGTTCGCCCACCACACAATGTCCTTCCCGGGGCCCTGCGGCCTCCACCCCAGCCACCCCCTCACACCCACCCCATCGGCCCGCTGCTCCCCCGTACCCCTCCCATACCCGCCCATACAGTCACCACTCACCCCACCGCTCAACCCACACCGCCGAACCCGCCTTTATTGCCTTTGTGCCCACTGCAACTGTTTTCCTCCCCCTCCCGCCGAGCACGGAGGAGCGGGCGCCAGCTCCGAACGGCGGGACGATCGGAGGGGCCCAGGCGCGCGGGTGAGCACGCGCGGCTTGATTTCGCCGGAGAATCGCAGCCTGGGGTCCGCCGCCAGCCGTGGTTCCGCTGCGCGAGCTGTTGGCCGCGCGGCGATGCCCCTGCGGATCGGTAGAGTGCGTGGGATGCAGGGTTGGACCGGGTCCCGTCGAAATCTGGCCTCTTCCCGGTGGTTTGAGTGTAATGGCTCGCAGTAAGGTGAGGGCCGAGTTCAGTGTGTGTTGGTCACGCAAAATTGGGAAGGGGGGGCCCTTGTTGACCTGACTTGGCTCCTGCCGATTGGGAGAATGCGTGGGATGCCGGGCTGCCATTCTCTCAGGTCGAATGCTTCCGATGGTTGCGGCGTTCTGTGCGTCATGGCTTCGCGCCGTGCGCGGAGAGTTCCGCCTGTGGCGGTCGCGCGAGCTGGGAAGGGGAAGGATTTGGCTTGACTCGGCTCTTGCCGAGTGGGAGAATGCTCGGGATGCCGGGCTGGAGGGGCTACAGTCGATTTTTGCCGGAAGTTTCAGCGCGATGGCTCTCGGCAACGTGAAGGCCGAGTTCCGCCTGCGCAGGTCGCGCCTGCGGGGAGGGGATGGGAACTTTGCGGACTGAACTTGGCCTTGCCGACCGGGCGTGGGATGCGGGGGTTGCACCGGCTGCTGTCGAAACTTTCCCTTGCTTCTGGCGGTTTCAGCCCAACGGCTGTTGGCCACGTGAGGAGCCAGTTCCGCATGCGTGGGTCACCTATGTGGGGTTGCCCCGGGGGAGTGGGGACTTGACTTGGCTCTTGCCGACCGGGTGCATGCTTGGGATGCCGGGCTGGACTGGCTCCGCGGAAAGTTTCTGATCTTTCCAATATTTTGCGCGCAGTGGCTCTGGGCGCCGTGGGCGCAGAGTTCCGCTCGCGTCGGTCACCCACGTGGGGAGGCGAGGGTTGGGGTTGGGAACTGACTTGGCTTGGCTCTTGGACAGAAGGGGTGTGGCGAAGCCGCCAGTACGCCAGAACAGGAGGGGGGGTGGTCGAGCATGCGACCACGAGCAAAGGGGGGGGAGGTGGTGGGGGTGGGGGCTGGGAGCGGCGTGGGGATGCGGAGTGGCTCTGAAGATGGCGGGGCCGCGGGGCGTGGAGCCGGACGGGGCGCGCGGGGCGGCGGTTTTCGAGATCGAGCTCCTGTCGGTCGCGCGCGAGTTCAAGCGCGGGGTGATGGCCGGCAGGCGGCAGGCTGGCCGTGAAACCCCGCTGGAGCCGGGAGTGGACGGGAGGGACGTTTTCTCGATTGGCGCATAGCGTGCAAGTTCTTGTACGCGGTATGCAGGGCACGGCGCAGACGGGGTGCCACGGTAGGGACATTCCCTGTCTCGGCGCGTCGCCCCGCTCGAGCCCCGCGCCGTGAATGCCATCACTTGCGTTGGGCCTTGCCAGTCGCTGGACCAGCGCCCGAGTTGTCTGCCTGCTACCCGCCCAACACCGCTGGGGAAGGAGCCCAGGATACCAAAGAATTTGGATGAACTGCGTCCCTAATTGGCGAAATTCGTGGAAGAATCGGCCGCTTTGGCCATCATAAGGGGCTCAGGTCGCCTCTCGTGAGCCTTCCCGAGCCGTCCGCAGTGGTACTGTTGGACTGTGCTGTAGCATTCCTCCGCCCCAGACGCCGCCATCCCCGTGCGCCTCCGGAAGCAAGTCACCGCCCGCGGAGGTTGGGCCCCTTAAACGCCGCGCCAGAGAAGCGCGTGGCGGTCGGCGCAAGTGGTCGCCGGGGTGCACCGCGTTGAAGGGGCCTTGGTGACGGCGGCGCTGTGCTCCCAGACGCAATCAATCAACCAGTAATGCAGTGCTGCATCAGCGGGTGGGGGGAGGGGTGGAAAGCCCCGGCTTCCCTAAAGTGGGGTGCGTAAGGAGGGGTGCGACGGGCACGTGGTGCCACTTTTCGGCACCTGTGGGTGGTGCTGCTGGTGCATTAGTACACTAGCACATTAGTACATTAGTCTCTCTGTCTTGTCCGTGAAGACCCCTTCTCGTTTCAACACCCTACACCCTGGGAACGCATTGATCCCTCTGTCTTTTCCGTGTGGATCCCTTCTTCTTCCGCTGACAAGGCCAAGGCCGGTCGGTGGTTTAGGGCTCAGGGTGTCCGGAAACAGGGTGGATTCCGCACGAAAAGAAAGAGCTACTAATCCCATGCCCTCAACCCTAAAACCACTGAAGTTGGCCTTTTCAGCAGAAGAAGGGATCCTCACGGAAAAGACAGAGGGACTAATATATTCTCCTGATGTAACTAGAACTGATCGAACATTAGGAATACCTGGACGCATGAAGAGGTGATGAGGCATTGGGGATTGCATAAAGGACATTGATGAACGGGTGGGGTACAAGGGACGGAACTCCTGTTGCCCCTTAGCTCACTGTGAACCGTCGCCGTGGGCTGGAGCCTATGGTCCCCAGTCAGGGGTCGCCAGCCCTCGACACTGCTTACCTTCGTCAGTGCCCTCATGGTTAGTCGCCAATGCGCCCATGGCCAGATGTGTCATGGGCAAGGTCATTTACGACAGCCCCTCCCCTTCTTTTTCTTTTTTGTCTTGGTTTGAGAACAAACCGAAGTGCCCTGAGAAGACAACGGTTTTTGGCACGAGAAAGTGGTTTCGTATGTCAGGGAGGGCATATTCTTCTCGTTTGGTGGGTGGCGCTAAGTGTTGTTTTGGTCGTTTTACCGTATTTGCAACGATTGCCTTGCCAATACTTGCTGAATTACAAAAGAAAAAACTACTCAAAATTAGGAAGAAGTTTGAGTAATAGAAGTTTGGCAAAGAAACAGAGTGGGGCGAAAGATGTAATGGGAAGAATGCGTTGGGCACATACTGGACAAGGGCTGTGACACGATGAACGGAAATACCCCTTCTGTGAGGAAAGAGCAATTAGCGCCACTGCATGTTGTCACCAGTTCCAGTGTATTCACTTTCCAGCATGTTTGAGCTCGAGTGGATACCAAACGCCGCCTCACAGACACGCTGCTGCATGGGCCCATTGCGCCAATAGGGAATGACAAAATGAAGGATCCTTTGCCTTTGGGCCAGCATGTCGTGTTTGGCACAGGCATCTTACGAATCCCTCCCCTCACGTTTTGGCTTTCAAAGCAGTGCACACAGGGCATTACAGGTAACTGTGCTATCGTTCTCGTACTTGAGCAGTGCACGTAGCTGGTGAAACGAGTACCAAAACGAGTGAAACAAGTACCAAAACAGGGCTTAAACACCTGGACGATGTTTGGGTCCCATTCAAGGCAGTCTTGCACTGCTACCGCACTTTCCCAGCAATAGAACAATAGATCGATATGTTAGCACACACTGTTACATACACATATATTCGAAATGCTCATCGCATATTCCCTGTCCTTGAGACTGTTCAGTTGATGAAAAAGTGCCTGAAATGTGCTGTTCTGGGGCAGTGACCAGCAGCGGACTTCCACAGTACCTGATGCACTTGTGTGCCTTGTGCAGTGCCCACTACTGGTGGCGGGAGACACGGGAGAATTATGGTGCTGGAAGATGAACCAGATATGCAGCAGGAGCATCTGCAGGGGTTCAATGGCGGCATGTATAGCTTGCAGCTGGAGCAGTCCACAGAGGGCGAGAGGTGGGGAACAGCGACACTGTGTTGTGGCAGAGAATCGCCTTTGTCGCGCTGCTACTGCATGTGTACAAATGGCATCAAACAGACAAAGTGGGTGAGCCCTGGAGCATTGCCCAGTATGTGGGAAGATGTGTACGGGAAGACGGACCTCACTTCCCCTTTTGCAAGGCGCAGTTGCCAAGGGGAGCTTTCACATCCACAGGAACTTAGGTAGATGGGGTCACTGCCTCAGTCAACTTGGGGACCTCGAAGATGGAGCACAGGCAGCATGTTTTCCTAGATGAAGCCTGCCTTGCAGAAGATGGGAAAGGGCAGGGATTGGTGGTGGTGGTGGTGGTGGTGGGGAGGGAGGGAAGGGGAGAAGGGGGAGGAGGAGGGGGGGAGGGGAGGGGGAGGGGAAATGGCTGGAGTGGGTGGAATAAGTGCCGCAGGGGACACCTAACAGTGGTGGAAATGGAATGAACTCGCCCAGTGGACCATTTCAAAACTGTGGCTACCAGGTCGCCAGGCGTGTTCCAAACGATGGCCACATTCGCTGTGTTTGCTTTATTGGAGGAATGCAGTGTCGCATGTATGGGGCCCATCCTGTGCTTCGTATCTCCTGGTCCATCCTAATGCCGTCGCATTCGTCTGGCACCATGACAGGGCATTGTGCGACTTGCTTGTGCAGAGAATTTCGGGACTGGTTGGAGCAGCACGAGTGGCTAATACCATGATGCTAATACCTGCGTGATACTTTGAGCATGCAGCAACCTTGGATCCATGCCTGTTGCAAATCAGTGCTTACTAATCTTGAAACGATTGTGACGTTTGAATCAGAATTGCAATTTTTGACAAATGCATCTGGTTTCTTGCAACGCTTGTCTTGTGAGCACGAGTCGACACTTGCCAGAAGTACAGCAGCAATGTGTCTGACATCCATGGCCAAGACGGGCCCGGTGTTGTTGCCATTTTTTGCTGGTATTGAAATATTTGTGTATTCATTTGTTTATTTGTTTATTTATTTGTTTATTTGGTTGCTTGTTGGCTTATTTGCTTAATTATCTGAAAGTATTGCATGAATTTCGTACGCCTCGTTCAGGGAAAGTCTCCAAGGTCGGCGTCGATTGGCAACTTCCATTGGGCGTCAAGACGACGAGGAGGAGGATGTAAAGCTACTGGAGTCATTCGATGCAGGTGAAACTAAAATATTGACATTATGGACTTTTCAGTGTATGGTATTATATTGTTCAGTGTGTTGCAGTTGTTTGTTTCATTGTACAACTTGTATGATAGCTGTATTTTACAGTGTTGTATGTTTGGAATGAATGCCTTTCAGTTCGATTCTACATCCCTTGCAACCTGCTTCCTACAGGCCACTCGCTTTCTTTGTTGTTGTTTAATCTTACCACTATGTAGTTATTTCTTGCAGTGCATGGGGAGGTACGAAAATAGTGGAACCTTGGCCAAGGAGTTTGAGTAACATCTGATTAGATAATTGATATTCGAATTCTGGATAACTATATGTGTATTAATGTGCACATGTCCACATAATGCAAGAGTGTTATCTCTTCATGTTTTGATTCGGGTATTTTAGACTGTGTCTACTTTGAAGCATGCTGTGCATCAGTGATGTGACGTGTGTTTGGAAAGAGACCGACTTGTGTGCTGGGCGCAATGGGCACTTGTCAATCTTCTGCATTAAAATCGTTTGAGTTGGTGGCAACTTTGATGACTATTCCCTCATGATAGTTAGGTGATTTGCTTCATTTTAATTAGTGATATTTCTGCTGATATGATGTTGCTTTTTGTGGCCGTTTTTTTGACCCATGTGTTCCATGCTTTGGCAGATTCGCCCACCCCTTGCCCGTTGGCCTTGGGGTTAAAGGGGGGGAAGGGTCGCAAGGAGAGTAAAAAGGCAAGGATGAACACTAGTTCGTCTGCTGTAGCTTTGACATGAGGCACAATATCATATTCCATACAGGATGCGATGATCGTGCGATATGTTGTATTGTCGCTATTTGTGCTGTTTCTGTCGCGGAAGGTGCTATGGGCATTCGTATATGTTCTAATTCTGTTATCTCATCGCTTCTGCGATTTGTGTAACGCCATATCAACATGTGGGCACTTATCTTCCATGGCATTAATATTCTGTCGAACTAGCCAGTATTTTCTTGCACCCCCTCTTGAAGTTGCTATACGTGGCTGCTGTAAACACGCAACATTCCTGGAGGTTGTGTTTCAATGATATTTGGCTGTGACTTTGATGTTTATCTGTGCAGTACTTGGAAAAGTGAAAGTGGAAAACCAGCTCAAAAGGAATCAAGTTGCATTTTACCACACGAAATGTGAAGCAAGGCTCGTGATATATTGTGAACAGCTCAGCAGTTTTGTCGAATTTTCCCGCCTGTGTGTGGGACATTTGATCGATTTTCTTCATTATCTGTTCAGGAAAGGATTGCTCTAAATACAGAGTCCAACGCAAAGAGAATGCAGTTACTTGCAAAGATAGCATTTTTGTTTTGGTGTACGTATTTGTAGATGTATTGTTGGATTCAAAATGCGTGATGCATGCACCACCAAAATATGTACTTGTACAGTACCTCTCCATGCTTAGGCCACATAACCAAGTAATTGAATGGAACAGTAAAAGGCACATTCCTGCAAATGAGCGTTGTATAGTTGACTCACATCTTTATTTGAAGGAAAACATGTATGAGTAATGTACAAAATGGTGTGATCTCAACCGCGCTTTCAGTTCCATATTTTCACTAGCTGCACGCACGCCTGCCCCACAGGCTGTCCGGAAGTTGGTGCTGGTCCTGTCCATCAGCTTCACCTTCATGGTCGTTGAGTTTGTTGGCGGCGGCCTGGCGCGCAGCGTGGCGATCATGACTGATGCTGCGCATCTCTTGTCTGACGTCTGCGCCTTTACCATGTCGGCCTATGCGTCGCACTTGGCGTCCAAGAGGAGCAGGGCAGCTTATTCGTTCGGGTGAGTCCAGGCAGTGGTATTTCGGGAGAAATGGTCCATGCCTTGATAGTTTGTGGTAAATGGTAGCACCACCCTTTGTTGAAAAGTTGTTGGGTTGTGAAAGATCGTGGCAGATAGAGCATGGAGTTGTGCTGGCAAGGAATTTGATTGTAGATGCTGCGGCAATTGATGTTTTGGTGTTGCACTGCGGCTGTTAGGGCCTGCGATTAAGGGCACATTCTTCCAGTCAAAGCCAAACTTCACCAGGGTGTCTCGCTTGAGGTCCTGAAGTTCAACTTGTAGATATGTCAATTTCTGAACCTCAAGAGAGACTTGAAGTGAAGTGCTGAAGAACTGTTGCTGCTGCATGGCGACCATTTTATGCACACTTGCCTTGTGATGCTGGCTAACCAGCAGGCAAGCAGGTGATGAGGCAGTTGAGACACTATCAGCCAAGATGTGCCCTTTCTCCCTCCCCTCGCGATACTTCCCCCATCAAGGTTCCCTGCACGCCGTGTGCAGCCTGTGGCAAGTGTGGCTATCGACAGTATCCTAGCGCAATGGCTGCAGTGATCGAATGAACCAAGACATAACTATTGTTGCACTCCGTGCTTTACTCTATTGAACTAGAAGTCCATTACCCCGGCGGACGCCCAGTGTGATGAGCCGCCCGTGCACTGCAGCTACCACAGGGCTGAGGTCATCGGAGCCCTGCTGTCTGTTTTGGTGACATGGGCAGTCACTGGCATGCTCGTGGCGGAGGCGGTGCGGCGCTTCATCAGTCCAACAAACGTCAACGGCAAACGTGAGTGACGATGAAACTGCGTTCTGCTAGTGAAAGTTTGCAGCAAATGCATGGTTGGGATTTGTTCCCCATAAGTGCAAAATGGGACTGGATTGTGTGATTCGCTTCAGACGGGCCCACACAACTTGGATGAAGCTACAGACATCTGGGTTTAGTAATGCAACACTTAGGAACAAGTGGAATACCTGTTTAGCACTTCAGAGCAGTGACAGGAGAAGTTCACTCTTCCACCGTAGCATCCCTACCTCCAGGGTGTGCCAGCGCCCAGCGTACCTAACTTGGGGTGTGTTACGTTGGAGACCTTGACATCTGGGCCCCAGATGTCCAAGTCCACAACCTCACACACCCCAACGTCCCAGTGGACATTTCCTCCTGGTGCAGCTGAAAGCAGGGTTCCTGTTGTTGTGCCAAGAGCACCTATGTCTCATCCCACCCATCTGCCGACGCTCCCCGCCGATTCCTGGCGACACCCCTCCCTGCCACCCAAAGTTGGCAGGGAGGCCAGCGGGTCACACCAGCATCGGCGGTTGTTGGGCCTTTTCTCCTCCACTGATAGATGAGAAGCACAAGGTTGATGTCTTGTGCCCAGGGCTTTAGCAGTACTGGGAGAGGCTCACTTTTACAGTACTTGAGCAGTGTGAGAACATCATCTGTGCATCATTTCAACAGCGGAACGAGAAGTTCGCTAGGTAGCAGAAGCTCACTTTCGACTATTGAAACAGTACAAGGCAAAGATCATCTGCCCAACGCTTTTGCAATGCCAAGAAGACCTCGTATCGCAGTGCTTGAAGTGCAAGGAGAAGCTCAGTTGCCCAACTTTTCTTTCAGCAATAGTTTGCATGGACTGGACGTGGCCTGCAGATTCAAATGAGGCTTATGTTTGTGTGATCTTTGTGTTGCAGTGATGTTCTTCTTGGCCATTGGGGGTCTTGTGATGAATTTAATCTTGATGTTCGTGCTGGGACATGGGCATTCACATGGAGGTGCGCTGCAGCAATTATGTATTGTTTTAGTATATGTCCATACCTATGGCACATGTTCTGTAGCATTCAGTGCAACCAGGTGTGTGGAATACATATTTCATCAGTTTGGATGATATTGTTATAAGTACATTGTACTTATTTACTAGGTGTGTTGTATTGCGTATAGCTTGTCAATTGTACTGACAAACAGCTGTGTGAAAAACTGCATTTCTGGCAGAGGTGTTCTGTGTTTTTGGCCCAAGAGGCTCTGGAGTGCACCCAGGCTGATACCAATGTTTGGTGAGCCTCAATCCAAGGACAAATGAACTGAAGTAGATAAACCAAAGTGACAGGCTACATATTGACATCGCAACGTCCGGTTGGTGGCTCCAATGGCTGAGTTTCCTCAATCAATGTCAAAGAAATAGAAAAACTGGATTGGCTGTTTGCAATGCAGGGCACGATGACAGTGGCCATTGCCAACCCAAGGAGCTTTCACAGAAGCTCAAGCACCACCACGATGAGGACGATCATGACCACAAGCATGAGCAGGCGCAAAAGGACGCATTGAAACATGGCGGCCATTCACATTCACGTTCCAAACATCGGCGCCACTGCAGCCATGGGCATGACCATGAGAACATGAGCATTCGTGCAGCTTTCATCCACATTTTAGGGGACCTTGTCCAAAGCATAGGTGGGGAGGGTGTGTGCTATATGCAACATTATTTGATTGTGCATGCTTGTTGTGTTGAAAGTCACAGTTGTATGTGTTTGCCGTGGATAGGGAGGTAGTGTGTCATGTTCTCCTTGCCCCTGGACCAAAATGGAGAGAAGCAGTTGCAGAATTGGCTTGGAGAGATGTTCTGACATCACCGGCACTGTGTTTAATTGTGCATGAACGGGACTAAAGTATGTGCTTGAGAGTTCAACCGCCATAAGTAGGACCATATTTCATGGTCTCAGCTGTGTTTTTGGCACCATCTTCCACAAGTGCTGTTGTGCATAATTGCCCTCAAACTCACAGCTTGTCACGCCTCCCTTCCAGGCGTCGTGATCTCTGGGGCCCTCATATGGTGGCACGACGACGACCCCAAATGGAACATCGCGGACCCCATCAGCACCTTCATCTTTGCAGGCCTCGTCATGTGCACGACCATCCGCATCCTGAACTCAACCCTGGATGCCTTCATGCTTCGAGCTCCGCGTGGGCACAACATCGAAATCATTCACAAAGGCCTGAGCAGCATAGAGGGAATACAGGTGCGCCCGATCATGCTGTTTTTGGCCTTTCTCTCGTGCATAAGGTGCAGACTTAGATTGAGATTGAATTAATCTTCACGCTCGATTGCCAAGGGAATCTTTTGGGTGAATTATGTGAGCTGTCACAGGTGGTGAATGTTTTCATGCTTTTTGGATGGTGCTTTGGTTTCAAAGAATTTACCAAAAATGATGGAAGTATGGCCCTGCAGCTTGAATGTCGTGTGGGGCACGGTGCCATCAACACAGTTTGTTGCAGAGCATTTGTTCATTCTTATGTGTCCAAAACATATTCCACCGTGTTTGGCCTTAATGGCCTGCTGAATAACATTCAACCCTTCCGCATTTTGAAATTTCACTGTTATGTTTTTTGCTCCACATTTTTCTTTTCAAGGCCTTGTGCTGTCAACGCTGCTCTGCAAATTTTTTTTAGTGTTGCTCCTCAAAGAAGGCCAACCATTATGTTACTATGAAGAAAGCTTTAACAAAATGCTGTGTGCCTCAAGCACCGTTCTTCCCCTGCTCCATCGGTGTGGTTGGTGCCCTTCTTTTAATTCCTAATGTATTACACTGTGATACGAGCAGAGGAGCTCCCCCATGGTTGGTGTCTTTGCTGTGGTGGTAGCTAAGCTTGTGATGAAAACCACGAGGTGGTTTGCACCTAAGCCATACCACGACAAACATACAGAAACAACCAGAAATTTCTTCAGCATGCGAAGGGCCGGAATGCGAAGCCCCCCCACTGGCTCAAAATCGCCCGCTTTGCGCAATTTTTGAATCTATCACGAAGTCGTGCTAGTTTGTTGAAAATTGGTCACTACTGGCGACGCTACTGTATGTAATTGTCCGCAACTTGACGGGATTGCCATCCAGGGCGCGGTTTAGGATAGCATTGTTTGGCTTATTGGTGACGCTTCAGAATGAAGCGCTGATAACGGAGCAAGCACTGTTGTGGACGCAGTTTTGTCAGCATATCTTTCCGATGTCTTCTTTCTTACTCTTGCACTGCGTTGTATGTTGTTTTCATTTGCGTATGTTGTACTCGTTATACGAAAACTAATCATGCCAGACTCTGGGCGGTGATATGGACGGAGGGGTGGTCATGTGCAAGGGAATAGATCTAGCACGACACGTGCTTTTGCGACAATCGCGCCCACATTGAGGTCCATGCTTGTATTTTTATCTGTATCTGCATATGTGTTTGTGTTTGTATTTGTATTTGTGACCTCGCCTTGCATGCGTTCGCGCAGGGCGTGCGGGACTTGCATGTGTGGGGCCTCGCCCCTGGCATCCCTGTGCTGTCCTGCTGTGTCGTCTTCGACGCTGGAGCAGACAGGTGCCGCGTGCTCCAACTGGCCACGGAGTACTGCCGGCTGATCGGCATCGACCACTCGACCATCGAGACACAGCGCGGCGGCCCCGGCGCCACCCCCCGGGGCCTCCCGCTCTGAATTCTTTCATTCTTGTAATGTGTGCAGTGATTGTAAATTCTTTGGCAACGGCTGTTGACCGCACGATTGTTTTGACTTGCTGTTTGACTATTGGACTTGCTGGTTGACCACCTTGAGGTCTGGTCGGTTGTCTGTGGGCTGTTGGGAAGTGTTGGAGTTACCAGAAATCGAGGCCATTATAAGACAGACATGTGATTGAAAAGCAAATAGAATGCTGGAAGGGGTTCACTTCACAACACAGGGAGCTGGGTTTTGGAAGGGAGGGTGGAGCCCTCTGGGTTACGGCAGGTGCAACAAAGCGCTGTTTGGTGGTAATGAACGGTGGTTTGCAGCACTGCGTGCAAAAAATTGCGGCTGAATGCTGCTATTTGCACTTACGGTACCTAAACTACCATTACGCGCTGCTGGATACCACTGAGGGCTACTGTGTGCTGCTGAGTACCACTGAGCAGTTAAGTGTGTATACACTTTGCTAGAATAAGAATTCGCCAATGGCATCGGTCAACCCAGGCGGCCAGTCCTTTCAGAGTTTGCAGATTCGATCTTGCCGTCCATGTCGACAGGTGCAAAAAAACTGCAATGGGGTTAAAACTCTCTTGCATTTTTACATGATAATCTTGAAGAATTGTAACAATTCGACTTTCCATCAACCTGCCGATAAGCCTGCAGCTGCAGATGTTTGCCTAAATGTGACCCGTGTGCCCTCTGGGAAGGGCATCTCTGAGGAAAACCTGTGCAAGATATAGCAGTTCACTGTACTTGATTGCACCATTTTTTTTCTGGAATGGCCTGCTACATGTCCACGTGCCTGATCCAAAGCACAAAGTGTTGGTGATGGTGCCCCCAACATGCTTCAGCATTCCTACCAGCATGCGCTACAACGCATTCAGTGGAAGTACTGCAGTACCTTCCGCATCTTGGGGTATTTGAGCAATGCAATTTCAGGTGCGCACTTTTCAGCTGCGCCACCTTTGTTAAGTTCGCTGTTAGCCATGTTGGCTTTGCTCTCGATGAGGGACATGTGGATGATGCATGTGCCAGCCATTGTGGCTGTATATGTGAGCATTTATTGACCAGCTGAATGACGTAGCATCACAACCAGTCAGACGTCTCCGGCATCAGACAGCCAAGCGTTGATAGGAAATGACGAAAGCCCCCCTGAAACAAGTAGTGAATCAAATAGCAGAGTTTTAGCTTACCAGTATTAAACCACAGAATTGGCTCCGTCCAATCCATGATCCATCTTGAGAACAGATCTGATGAGAGGTGATAACAAGACTGGAAAAAGCATTGAGCGGCAAAACAAAGAACTGAAAATGAGATGGTGTGAAAATGAGTTTCTTATCAGGCCATCACTTCAGGGCCTTATGGTGATATTTTTGTTCATCATTCATGATCGTTTCCACTAGGAAAAAACAGTCCAGATGACATTGTCCTGACACGGTCTGCTCAAAATCCAACCGTGTATTTTTGGCAAATGTTGTCACAAAACAACATAGTTAGTGCACACATTGACACAGTTTTAACCATGTACCCTCAAACAATTGTGTAGACTACACGGTTTTCCAGGATACGTGGTTAAAACTGTGCCTATGTGTACTAATTGTGTAGTTTTGGGACCACATTTGCCGAAAGCACATAGTTGGCTTGTGAGCAGACAGTGTCAGGACTGTGTCCTTAGGCCTATTTTTAACTAGTGTGCAGGCTTCATGTTGCATCCCATGTGGCACTCTGAGTCGAGCTAGTGATCGGGGTCTGATTAGACCACAATCGTTGTGATGGCTGAAATTGAGTCAGTGCTTGGATCTAATTTTGCCATCAACATTCTCTCAAAACATTTCCATACTTTCCTCAGTATTTGATGAGTGGAACGGCCATCCTATATGGCAGGAACTTCGCTTATTTTGTTCTCTAATCGGTCACGCTGCACTGTCTATGCTGAGCTTCGGGGTGCTCTGTGAAAAGTATGTTTTGTAGGATATGAAGGTGGATGAAGAAAGTCAAAGGCAGGGTGGCTTCAGGTGGCGAATGTGGATGCTGCTTGCGGCCAATCGCTGGCGTTGTCAAGAGGCCTATGAAGCGTCTTGTATGGGCTGTGGGATGGGTCGAAATATGGGGGCTGGCCATGAGCAAGGCGTTCTCACTTCACATAATATTTGTAACTCTTATTATTGAGAATTTATATATTAGTATTACAGGGATTTTATATATAAAAAATGTAGTGACCATGGCAGGAAATTTTGACTAATATCGTGTAAATGCAATTATAGTATGAATGAACATGAATTAATAAGCACAGTTGTAACAAACTTGAAGTTCAAGTTCATTACACAGTGTCTCGTACACTGTGTAGTGCAGGAACGGTGTAATGAACATTGTTCAACGTAGAATCCAGTCTTTTGGATCAATGGCGCCCTTGTGCTGATTCAGAGGATGCAAGGTGTAAAAGTTCTCAATGCTCAAAAGGAATTTAACTTAGCCAGATGCATTACATAAGAAGGTGAACGAGCAATTTCCATAGGTATGTAAGGCCACGAGAAATCGCACAGTGTCCATTCAATATTGCAAGGTACAGCCAAGGCCATGGTGACTCACTGTATTTTCTTCCGCGACTTTAGCAGTGGACGATTTTGATCATTGGAACAGATCAATTGTACTTAACCAAATCAATTTATCCGGCACATGGCGATCTGGTGCTGTTGTCATTGATTCATTTTACGCTTATCTTCCTGTCCTGTCCATCGAGCAGAGCTTGGACTGGATTGCTTGGTAGCCACTTTTCATGCGAAGTAACGGAATACCGGTATAGCCGGAATATAATTTGTCCACTGGCACCTTTTGTGCCCGTGGAATGAAACCTCAACAGAAGGGACCGCCTCGAAAGGGTCCAAATAATTCTTTGGGTCGCGCCAACTGCGATACCATTTTGACCGAAAATGGCGCTTTCCCTGTGACTGCGATGGCCCCAGAAGTGACTGGGATGGCACCAATTTGTACCAAATAGCAATGCTGCTGGCATCTCCAGGGTGGCGTTTTCTGGTGACGATCGAAATGCAATGCAACGTTTGGAATCAGGCGAGGGTCGTAGCGGTTATTTCCGTTGTGCAATAGCTTGCAAGTAGTGGTGGTGTGGACGTTGCCCTTGGCACAATCAGCGGATTTCATCGCCATCGCAAAGAATCTTACGAGTTTAGTTGTGCGCGCCCATGGCTGGGCGCCCTCTAGCCGTGCCGGCCTTGCAACGCGATCAATGTGGAGGCCTTGTATCCATTCCCAGGGCTAATGCTGTTAGCCCGGTGGATATAGCAATTGGGTCCTTACCACAGCGCTCCTCACTACTGTACAAACTACTGCGTTGCATCCATCGATTTGAAAGCCAAAATGGGCCCCGCTGGTCGCGCGCATCCTATCGCCCATGTGCGCACCCTCCTCGCGCAACGGGCAAGGGTCGTATGTTTCGCAATAAGCTTGATTCGCGCCGCTCACAGCGTTCTTTGAGTTGGCCGCGGGCCAGCGCTCTGATACGATGCCCTCAATGCGCCATGCATGGAGGACAGCAGGGCTGAGCGATGGCAGTAACTGAGTGGGACTCGTAGGGCGCCTGGGCGCGGTGAATTTGTTTCGGTTCCTTGTAATCCACCTCTCAGGGCAAAGCCCTCATGCAGTGACCAGTTCGGGTTAGCTGAATTCGTTACATGCAGGTGGAGCACAGCGAGAGACATCCATTGATGCTGCTCCCTCGCATATATACACCGTTGCAATTCATCCTACACAGCTCTGCGTCCGCTCTATTCTCCTGCTTCCCAATTGCCACAGAATCACGCTCCCTTTCAATCACATCCCTCGCCAGCGTCCAACGGCACATTCCAGTCTTCGGTTTAGCCCATTCATATAATACCTATGCCCTTATCCCCGGGCGATTCCCCAAACATCTATCCATCAAATTGCTCGTCGAAGACGGCCACGCGCTTTGGTCGCCATGGATGGGGCTTCTTCATCAGATGATGCTTGTCTCAAATTCACCGCATCAGACGGGACACATGCTTTTGCGCGGTACTCCTAAAGGTGGACGCGGGAACGCTGACCTGATTCTGGCCGCGGGCAGGAGAGCGTGTGTGTAGCCGAACTGTTGCTTCGGCTGCCGAAGCAACAGTCGAGACGCAACAGCCAACAGACGCGACGCCACGCGAGGGAGCCAAGGGCCACCAAGCCGCACCGGGTGGAGAACCAACACCCGAGGACGCCAGCATACTATGTGAGCGTCACTGCTCCCGTTGCCACCCCGCGCCCCCCCGCTCGCCTCCGCCTCGGCCGCGATTCCTTCCGCGCTCGCCCGCAATCGCAGAACGGCAGCCGCACAGGCAAAACCCTGTCGTGAAAATGCCCTTGCCAAACGCTTCAATTTCCAGCGCGACCCGTTCAGACATGGAAAAACAAGCGCCGCGCTGGGTGCGGGGATTCCAATGCGATATTGGACGCTGGCCGCGCGCCCTCTCACGCATTTTGCAATGCCTGCCTCCTTGTGACAGCCCATTAATGGCGAACATTCGCCTTGCCCCAGGAGCAATAGGAGTAATGTGCAACTCCGTGGGGCAGCAGGTGCAGCGTGGTAACAACAATGCGTGCCAAGAGTATGGGTGACCGCGCCCCATGCCAGCACAGTCAAACTGCGGCATGCACCGCGTGCTGATGGCGTGACATGAGTAGACCTGCGACAGAAACGCGCCTGGACAGAACGGCGCCATGCTGGCCGCACCACGCTCACCACACCATTGGCATGCCTGTGCTAAGATAGGAGGTGCAAATGTTGAGCGAACACCGTTGTTGGCTTCATTGCATCCAGTGACACCTGAAATTCAGGTGAAGCGCTTGGTATGGAAAACCATGGCAGACTCAGTGACCACTCTGCATGCACCAACAGTTTTTTACATTGCCTTCCTCAACCGATTCATGAACCAAGCACCAATTCACAAAGCAATCATTCCATCGATTCAATCCTC